GTGATGTCAGACAAAAGACCAACACCAAGGTTTTTAGGAGACGCCAGAATCCTGTCAGCAAAGACGACTCTTTCATGTTTTACAGACTGAAGTAGAACCGTGTTAGTGAGTGGAGTGAGCAAGAATTTGTTGGTGAAGTTTTTGGAACCCTTGGGCAAACGATGAGTCATCAGAACAGAGGGATGATGGGGGAACTGTGCTCCAGGCTGCTGCTTTTTTTTTTGCTACCAGTTGCAAAATGTTTCCTACCTAAAAAACAAAACCTTTGTTGACTGTGAATAAATCCATGTTTGAAAAGGTCTGGACTGATAATCCCAGAACACCGTGTGTCCCTCCTGCCCCCGTCCACTGACCAGTCCCTTTCTGTTCGTCCCGTCTGCCAGTCTTTTGCCCACGCTCTTCTCTCTAACCCCCCCCACCTCTGTCCCCCCTCTCCCTGTGACTCCTTCATGTTCTTCCTGTGACTACCCTCCGACCTCTGTCTGTCTCTCTGCTGTCAGTTGTCCCGTCCAGTCCTACCATGGCGTCATCGACCAGCCTACCGTCCAACTGCAGTAGCTCCTCCGGCATCTTCTCCTTCTCTCCTGCCAACATGGTCTCTGCGGCGGTCAAGCAGAAGAGCGCCTTCGCCCCGGTGGTCCGACCCCAGAACTCCCCCCCGCCCACCTGCACCAGCACGAACGCCAACAGTCTCCAAGGTGAGAAACTAAGACAGCAGCAAATCCACCTGATTTCTCTCAGACTTTTAATTTGTCCTGCTCTTCACCTCCTTCAAACGATTAATATTTCACTCTCCCCCAACTTCTTTCTGCAACCTTCCTTGTTTTCCTCCCTCTCCTCTCCTCCCTCTCCTCCCTCTCCTCCTTCTCCTCTTGTTGCTATAGATCAGTCTTTTGTGGACTCTAGCAAGTACTCATCTGCCAGCTCTCTGCAGAGCCTGGCCTTCTCCTGAAGTATGTTCAACCTCCCTCCTCACAGTCCTCCCACTCTACCTCCCTCTTCTCCCCCTTTCTGTTTTTATTGTCTCTCTTGACTCGTCAAAGAGACAGCACGCCACGCCACGCCACATGTGTTCCATTTCCTGTTTTCGCTTCCTACTTCCTTCCTGCTCTGTGAGGGAGGGGGCTGTGAGCGGG